TTTACTCTATTCTACATCTCGAAAGAAAATCTACGTATCTATTTATCTATTTCTACACGCGCACGTCACCACGAAATGACACACACGAACATGTACATAATCATGATATAAAATATGGAGAGTACGAGCCCAGAGAGCCGGAAAAGTCGTAGAACACATTACATTTTCCTCATATAGATTAGGAAAGACTGGGCAGTCAAGTAAGCCATAGAAATTTAAGGAACATACGGGTGGCCAGGCAGAATATTTTTAGTTTTTAGTTTCAGTTTCACTTGTTACAATGGATACTCTTTTCTGTGACATAGTGTCTGTTTTATTTGCTTCTAAATCTCCTCCTGTGTGCAAGGAATGGCCGGGGTTACCATTCACTGCTAGCGCGCAGGATCGAACGCAGGTCAGCAAGATGTACAGCAACATATACTATTTGTACATGTTTAAATATGAATCTTGTTAACTAGAATTTTTACCAATGTTTTCAAAGAAGAAAAGGTTTAGAAAAAAAACGCGGAATTTTTGGAATTTCCGAGATGTAGTTGAAAAGCATACGCTGAAAATTTCACGGAAGAAATGATTTTCCACAAAAACAGTCTAAAAAGAAGGGTTCTCGTTTGAAAGAAAAGGAACAGAAAATTTTAATGAGCAATAAAAAGGAAATATACTTCAAACTAACAAGAAAATTGTTATAAAAACTCGACAGACTTGCACGTAAAGATGCTACAGTAATCGCAAAACAGATATAGATTCTATGCAAGAAGAAGAAGAAGAAAAAAAAGAAAGAAAGAAGAAAGGGAGAAAAAGAAGATAAAAAAAAGTGTTCCCCGAGACACTGAATTTCGCCTTTCACTTCCAGCCGTCCTTCTTTCCCCTACCTTCCCTCCCGCCCTTTCACAAGATAACGAATTTATTGCCAGCGCCCTCTCGTCCCTCTCGCCCTTCCCCTCGCGGTGGAGTGGGACGAGAAATTAAATCTAAAATGGTTTAAATACATGTAAGATGCTTGGAATGTCAGGAGTGAAACCTTCTGTATTGTCTCTTGTAATTGCGTTGTAATTATTGTAATTATATCTCTCTCGAATCCTGATGTGGAATTTACATTAGTAAAAGCACATGTGCGCGAGGAAGAAGAGGGGAGAAAGACAGAAAAAATAGAGGGAAAGGGAGAAAGAGAAAAAAAGATAGATAGATGGATAGATAGATAGATGGATAGATAGATAGATGGATAGATAGATAGATGGATAGATAGATAGATGGATAGATAAACTGATGGATAGATAGATGAATAGATTGATAGATAGACTGATAGATAGAGAGACAAATATATAGACAGAGATAGAAAGAGAGAGAGAGAGAGAGAAGAGTGAGAGTGTGAGAGACAGAAAGACAAAATTTGGGAGAAAGAAACTGAGGAAGAAAAAGGAAATTAAATATAAGCGAGGGAAAGAAAGAGTAAATAAGTAAAAGAAAGAAAATAGAGTGAGGCGATTAAGCTGAATTGACACGGCCATAACTTTGTGTTAATTAATCATATATTCTGTAAAAAATAGTCCAAAGTTAAACTCAAACATCTAACATTTTCCAAGAAACATGATGTACCAACTTTGATCCTGTAAAAGTGAGGAACTCCTGCCAGTGCAAGTAAGATTTCATGTACCATTCAAAGGACCCATTTTAATGTGTTTGCACACACACACACACACACACACACACACACACACACACACACACACACACACACACACACACACACACACACACACACAACCACACACCCACACATACACACAGAATGTAAGAGGAACTAAGATTTACTGAAGTACTGAATCCTTTGCTTGTAGTATCAGTTGAGTAAACTCCAGTTTCAGTAAATGAAAAACTAGCAATTTACCCCGACGTTGGAGTACTCTACCTCGCCAATAAATAAAATAAAATAAATAAAATAAAAAATAATAAATAAATAAAAATAAATAAATAAATAAATAAAATGGTGCAAAGCGATAAACAGTACTGTATACGAAAATACACACACCAGATGTCTGCAAACATAAGCATTAGGGTTCAATTCCTTAGAATTACGAAAGAGGCAGCGAATCGGAAAGCTCCAAAGTCCGGGTCAGTTGCCAGTTCTTCCTTCCCTGAGATTAGACACATTATAGCTAATAACTACACTGCGTCCAATCTCAGAAAAGGAAAAGCTGGCAACTTACAATCTCTGGAAAAGGCCTATTTTGATACGCCAAATCTCGTTTAAAAAGATATATATATATATATATATATATTAATGATAATTAATTATTAACCTAGTTTAAAAAGATATATATATTTACAAGAATTAATGAATATCTTAGTCTAATTCCATTTGTTACAATTGATATTCTTTGCTGAGATATGTCTGTTTATTTGCTTCTTTATTACCCCCTGTGTGCGAGGAATGGCCGGGTTGACCATCCACTGGCAGCGCACGGGACGGAACGCAAGTTAGCATGATTACTAGACAAGACCG